AGTGCCTTAAACAGGGGGCACTTAATTAATAGTAATTGAACCAAGTTGACACTTGATGAGGTGGCACATGGTGAGAGCCCCCACATAACCTGAGACTGAGAAGAGTGGAAGAGAACCATAGGAGTCATCACCCACTGCTGGCTGGAAGAACAGCCTTTTAGGGAGAGGCAGGGGGAGAGAGCGGCCAGAGAAGTCAGCTTAGGAGAGGGCTACGGCCTGTGGTTTCTCTCCTGCTGCTGTGAGCTGAAGTGTACCCCTTCAACATTCCTCTTTTTTGTTTGTTTTTTGAGATGGAGTCTCACTCTGTTGCCCAGTCTGGAGTGCAATGACATGATCTCAGCTCACTGCAACCTCTGTCTCCTGGGTTCAAGTGATTCTCCTGCCTTGGCCTCCTAAGTAGCTGGGATTACAAGAATGTACCACTACGCCTAGCTAATTTTTGTATTTTTAGTAGAGACTGGGTTTTGTCATGTTGGCCAGGCTGCTCTCGAACTCCTGACCTCAGGTGATCCACCTGCCTCAGCCTCCCAAAGTGCTGGGATTACAGGCATGAGCCACTGTGCCCGGCCAACATTCCTGTGCTGAAGTTTTAACCTCCAGTACCTCAGAATGTGACTGTATTTGGAAACAGGACCTTTACATAGGTAATCAAGTTAAGATGAGGTCATGTGGGTGGGCCCTCATCCAATATGACTCATGTCCTTACAAGAAGAGGAGACTAAGACAGACCCAGAAAAAAGACAACATAGAGACACAGGGAGAAGATGACCATCTGCAAGCCAAGGAAAGAGGCTCAGAAGGAACCAACCCTGCCAACACCTTGATCTTGGACTTCCAGCCTCCAGAACTGTGAGAACCAGTCTCTGTTGTTCAAGCCGCCTAGTCTGTGGCACTTTGTTATGGCAGCCTCAGCAGATTCATGTACTTGCCGTGTGGTCAATTGAGTGTGTATCTCCAATTGTAGTGGGATCTTGGACTGCTGTGGCTTCTAGAAGGTTGGACATGGGGTAAGGTGATATTTTCTGCTCCTCTCAGAACTGGTTAGACCAAATGGCTTTGTCAAAATCTGGAAAACAGTCGCACTTTAAGAGGGTCTTGGTGGCCTGGTGTGGGGGCTCACGCCTGTAATACCAGCACTTTGGGAGGCTGAGGAAGGGGGATCACGAGGTCAGGAGATGGAGACTATCCTGGCTAACATGGTGAAACTCCATCTCTACTAAAAAATTAGCCAGGTATGGTGGCGGGTGCCTATAGTCCCAGCTAGTTGGGAGGCTGAGGCAGGAGAATGGCGTGAACCCGGGAGGCGGAGCTTGCAGTGAGCCAAGATTGCGCCACTGCACTCCAGCCTGGGCGACAGAGCGAGACTGTCTCAAAAAAAAAAAAAAAAAAAAAAAAAGAGGATCTTGGCTAAGTAGAACATAAGAAGAGAAGGGGCCAAGATGGTGAAAGGACTTAAGGCCATGCCAGCTCTCCTGGAGGGGAGGCAACTCAGCCACACCAAGCATCTGAAGGCATTTCTAATGATCAGTGATGCTCCAGGGTGGCATGGACACCCTCAATGGACAGTGAGCTGTGGTTGGTGTGAGTGCTGTGAAGGTGATCCAGGCCACAGGCCAGGAAGTGGGGCTCCATGAATCTTTTTTCTCAAACCTGAGCATCTGTAATGCTAGGCCTCGGCCCCAAAACACCCCTCTCTTTTTTTTTTCTTGAGATGGGGTCTTGCTCTGTTGCCCAGGCTGGAGTGCAATGGCGCAATCTTGGCTCACTGCAACCTCTACCTCCTGGTTTCAAGCGATTCTCCTGCCTCAGCCTCTGAATAGCTGGGATTACAGGTGCCCACCACCATGTCTGGCTGACTTTTTGTATTTTTAGTAGAGATAGGATTTCACCATGCAAAACCTCTCTTTGGCCCTCCAGGATAACTGGTCCTGTTTCCCAGCTCCTCAGCCTCCTCTCTTCCAGTCTCTTTTCTTTGTGTGTGTGTATGTGTGTATGCATGCATGTAGGCACACACACACACACTGTATCCAGTCCCCAACATAAGACTATGAACTCCTAAGGGTGGGGGATGTCAATCCTATTTCCTTCTCCCTCTCTGTCTCTAGTTCCCACTCACATCAAACTACTCAGACCGATTTCTCTGCTTTGAAAGGTCTCAGAGCCCAGAAAAAGAGGGGAAACAATTCCCCAGGCTCTTTGCAAAGACCCTGCCTGAAACAGGCTTCATGTTGGGCTAGCAGACTATCCTGTGGGCATGCTTAGGGCCTGGTGGCCAGGAATCTCTAAGGAGGGGCCTGGAGAGCCAGAGTTCCTGGCCTGGCAGCTCCTCTCTCCAGTTCCACACAATGGCCCGGGTCTTTGGGGAGGTGCATGGTGTGAATCAGCAATCTGTATATCCCTGAGTTGGAAAATGTGTGGTTGAAGTCACATAGGGCCACTGGGAAGTCAGGCAATGGAAGATGCTGAAGTGGGGAGCCTTCTCCCCAGTATCCGTTCCTTGGTCCCTGCTGTCCCTGGGAGGAGCCTCAGGCATGAGTGCAACTTCATTATACGGTGACTCTGCATGCACAAGGGGTATTAATAATTCATACAAATCTGCAAGTTAAATGCTATGTCAAAAATAGAAATGCAATTGTCTACAATAAAATTAAAAACATAAAGTCCTCAATCCAAAGGCTTCTGTCAACAGAGTTTCCTGTCATCTGGAAGAACAAACCTCTCGCTGTGCTGGGGAGAAATACAATCTCTCCGTGTGTTTTCTTCTCACCTTCCCCCTCTTCAACCACCTGAGCCTCAGCAGTGTCTCCAGAGAGGCCTTTACAGGCAAAGGGATGCTGTGCGCTTGTTCTGCCCACCACTTCCTGATCCGACCTCTCCGCTGCAGCTGGGCCTCTGAGGACCCCGCCTGCTGGGTGGATTTCCGAAAGCTGGTTGAGATGAGAGGGTCTTTCCAGAGACTGGTTCAGGGTGGAAGAAATGGGCAGGTATGGGAGAGGTGGTGGCAGTCCCTTTTTCTTCCTCAGAGGAGACAGACAGATGGACAGACAGACACCAAGGGCTGGGAGTCAGGAGACCCAGATTCTAGCTCCACCTCACTCCTAACTACCAGTGTGGTCTTGAACAGGTCCCTTACCCCCTCTGAGCCTCAGCTTCTTCATCTGAGAAAGGAAGGTATTGACAGACCAGTGGGATCCAAATCTCTTAAAGCTGGGAAACCCTGTTTATATGTGAAATCTTACCTACAGTACCTCACTTAAAATGGAGAGGTGGGGGTGGGGTGGGCACCAGATTCCTAATGATTAGGCTCCTGCCCCTGTTCTCCCACAAGAAACCATAGGGTTTTGTGAAACACAGAAGGAAGTCCTATGGTCTAGATCAATTCTTTCCAAATGCAGACCTGCAGACAGGACTGGCTGCCTCAGAACCATCTGGGGAGCTTATTAAAAATAGAGATCCCCCAGTCCCAGGAGGTCACAGACGCAGCCTGGGAATCTGTATTTTAACTCCCCGCCACCTGCTTGTCAGCTCTGGTGTGCAGTCAGGTTTGGATGCTGTGGGACCAAGTGGTCCCCAAGGTCCTTTTCCTGCTCTAAAAAAATTCTGACAAGACTGTGCCTGCATCGATGGGCCCTGCAGGTGTCCTCCCCTCTGTCCCTGTGACCTCTGCATTCACAGCCTCCTAAAATATCCTGCTTCTGCTCAGCAGCCCTGTCCCCTCTGGCTTTGCAAAGCGTCAGGCCCCAGGGGAGGTGGCGGACTGTGTCGCTGAGCTTCCCCTGAAACAGAGCATGTTACTGGAGAGTCAGAGGCAGGGACGCAGCCCAGGAAGGTCAGCTTCAGCTGACTCACTGCCTCTAAGGGCTTGGTCTTCGGGGCAGGCACTGGCAGGCAGGGTGTGTTGGCTAAAAGGAGACTTGTGGAGGGTTTGTGGCACCCAGGGATAGAAATCAAGCCATCGTAGAGGGCTTCAGAGTTTGCAAAGGACTTTAGACATGCATAGCCTCACATGAGCCAGCCACCAACCATGGCAGCTGGGCAGGCCAGGGCTCACTGTTGTTATATCAGTTTTGTACTTGGGGAAGCAGAGTAATTGAGGCTTTTTCAGGGTCAGCATTGGCTGTGAGACCTGAATTTAGGCCCATGAGGTTACAAATCTTATCCTCCTTTCCCACAATGGTTTTTCCCAGACATGAGACCTGGGCTGCTTGAGGCTACATCAGAATCACCTGCAGTACCTGTTAAAATACAGATTCTGGGGCCCACGGAATCAGAATGTGTGTGTGTGCAAGTGCAGGGGGCGAAGTTAGATAAATTCAGGTCATCCATACCTGCTGTTTCTCCTCTTTTCCCAGCCTTTTCTGCCACCTCTGGCCCAGGGCCCATGGCTGCTCATGTGGGTGCTTACACCCAAAGACAGAGCTAATCTTACAAGAAGAATTCAATTTCTTTGGACAGGAGAGACCACAGGCTCAAAGAGGTGAGTAACTTGCTTGAGGCCACACAGCACTTAGAGATGGCAGACCTGGGATTCAAAGCTGTGTCCACGACACCACTGGCAGCATTTAGTGATGCCCTATGGTGATAAATAGGAGGGAGAGTATTCACAGTGGGAGAATAACTTTTTTTTTTTTTTTTTTTTTGAGACAGAGTCTCACTCTGTCACCCATGCTGGAGTGCAGTAACTTAATCTTGGCTGCAACCTCTGCCTCCTGGGTTCAAGTTATTCTTGTGCCTCAGCCTCCCAAGTAGCTGGGATTACAGATGTATGACACAACGCCTCGCAAATTTTTGTATTTTTAGTAGAGACTGGGTTTTGCCATGTTGGCCAGGCTGGTCTCGAACTCCTGACCTCAAGTGATCTGCAGGCCTTGGCCTCCCAAAGTGCTGGGATTACAGGCGTGAGCACCGCACCCGGCCAATTTAGCCTTTTAAGGTGTGTGTGAGTGAGGAATGCTCAGTCCTCTTATAGTGCCCCACCCAGATCCTTTGGGCCCACCTACCGTCCAGCCTGGGGGGCAGGCACACTCGCCAGTGATGTGGTGGCAGATGCCCCCATTCTGGCAGGGGCAGCGCAGCTCACAGTGAGCTCCATGGCTCCCAGGAGGGCACAGCTCCTCGCAGCTGCATGGAGAAGCAGAGGTGTTAGACACAGCAGCATTCAGATCAGGTGGCAGGGCCCCAGTGCTCCAGGGTTCACTAGGAATTCCTTCACAGTCAATGGATCTGCATCAGCTGAGCTGCAGTCCTGCTCCCGGCCAGGAGGGGGAAGCAGGGCTCAGACTGAATACATTGGAATGTAGGGTGCTTGGGCCAATACTTTTGGGATGGACTTAAGTGTTCTTAGTGTAAAAGAAGACTGTTCTGGGGAGGAGGCTGAGCAAGGCTTCCCGAGGAGGAAGACATTTTACTTGGGCCTTAAAGGTGAAGTCAATTTCACCAGGAGAATGGAAGGAAGGGCATGCCAGGCCAAAGTAATCCCATGAATGAAGGCACTGAAAAGTGCCCATGGATCCCATCTTCAAGAATCCGCCTAGATTCAGAGAGGGGAAGAATCTGGAGCGCATTCCTTCCACCCTCGGGAAGGCTCCCATGACAGGCTCATGTGCAGGGACTGGGCGCTGTTGAAGTGTGGGGAAGGATTTGCATGGGGTCTTGGTCTTGGGCCTTCATCCAATGGCCCTGGCCTCTAGCTCACTAGGACTTGGGAGCTGACCAGACATCGGGGTAGGGAACACCCTCAATCAACAACGTCTCTGTGGTCAGAGTCCTTGGCCACCCCTCAGGATCTAGGCTGTTGGAGAGGCCACTGAGCCTGCTACAGGGTTGGGAGGAGAACTTCAATCTTGCCTCTGAGGGGGTCTCGGCTAAGCAGTCTTGTAGGTCTCCTGTCCATACTATTCTCCGGAGAACTGGAGTGAGGGGCTGTTCGCTGTCTCGGGAGAGAAAGTAGGGGAGAGGAACAGCGGAGTAATCCTCCCAAATCTGTACATGGTATCTGCCCAGGACCCTCACCTCCCTCTATGTGTGTCACACCTCTCCCAAATGCCCTAGAAGGGAAGGCCCCAGGTGAGCAGCATCATATGGGGTAAGGTCAGAAGAGACTTCCAAGATAAGGGCTGTCTCTGCTAGGAAGGGCCTCCTGGGAGGGTTTTAGGGAGCGCCCACTTGGGCAGCCTCAGGAAGGACCAGTCAACGGGGTCCTGGAAGGCAGGAATCTGAGACCCGCGTGGGTGAGGTCTGGGCATTTAGACTCACAGGAGATTTCACAGCCAAGACTATCCCAACCCTCCTGGTCCCACCAGCCAGCCCACCCACAAGGAGCCCAGGGCTGGGTGTGCAGCTGCGGTAAGGCGGCCACTCCAGGCCCCGCCCCAGCCCCTCCACCCCCCCCAGCTCTCCCCACCCACGCACCCTCCAAGTCCCGCCCCTCCAGGTCCCGCCGGGTCCGGGCCCTGCCGCATGACTCACTAGACGCCAGTATAGCCAGGCGCGCAGAGGCACTCGCCGGTGCGGGGGTCGCAGCTGGCACCGTGTCGGCACTGGCACGGCAGCTGGCATCCCTTGCCGTGGGTGCCAGGCGCGCAGAGCTCCTCGCAGCGCCATCCACGGAAGCCGGCGGCGCACACGCAGGCGCCTGTGATGGGGTTACACAGGGCGCCGTTCTGGCACTGGCACCGGTTGCTGCAGTGGGGCCCCCAGTGGTCGCTGTCGCAGCCTGCAAGAGACGGGGCAGTCAGGGATCAGCAGCCCCGCAGGCTCTCCTTGGGGCAGGGGCCAGGAACCGATGCCCATGCGGCCTTCCCATCTTTGCAGTGCTCCTCCCTGTACAGGCTGCAGCAAGAGGTGGGTGGAAGCTTTGGCGCCTCATAACCTCCATCAGTTCTTCCGCCAAGCCACGCAAATAGTCACACAGGCTAAGAAGGGCAGAGCGTTTGTTTCCTCAAGGCAGCTTTAGAACCCATCTCCTGGTCCGGCCATTCTCTTCCAACCAAATGGCTGCCCTAAATCCTCCACTCCTGATCGAAATTCCGGAGCCACAAGCTGTTTACATCCCTCTGTCTTTGCTAAGCTCTTGGTTGGCTGCCTGTCTCTGTTCCTTTCTGCCGGGCCCTTTCTTTTCCCATCTGCCACCCCTCTTCTCTGTGACCCTACCCCTCGTCTTGGGGCCTGCTGGACGCAGCCCAGTCCGGCTCCCATTTGTCTATCTTTCCTGCCCCCTTCTCCCTCTTCTCCACACGCATTGGTTTTCTCACCTTTTGCATTTCACTTACTCTCTGGGAATATTTCCTCTAACTCCCTGCTCCTCCCTTGGCTCCATCTCCCTGTCACCCTTTTCATCTCTTCCTCATGCTTCTTCCTTTCAGTAATGGCTACGCCTGCTGGTTGCTTCGGCTTCAGTTCAATTTCATTACTTCCCAAGCAGCCAGCTTCAGAAGGAGCAGGAAAAAGAAATGCTTCCCTGGGAAGTAACAGACAGCCTTCAAGATCTTTACATGTAATTAAATATTTCAAAGAGTGATAGCTGAGCCAGTTTTGCAGAAATTCACACTCTACAGCTATGGAAAGGGGCTGAATAGCAGAGCCCCAGAGAGGTCACCCAGCCTGCTGCCACCTCCCACTCTGACCCTCGCCTGATGCATACGGGACACACAATAACAAGATGTCCTCAGTTACAGCCTCATTCACTCAAAGTTTGGGGTGAGACTGGGGTGTGGAGTTCAGGCATGGACAGGCACACATAATGTTTGGGAGAAGTTCGATAGAAAGAATGATTGCTTCCAGCTAAGGAGATCAGGCAAGACTTCTTAAAACAGAAGCCATCTCAAGTGGGCTGTGAAGGATATCTCACTTGTCTGCCTAACAGGGTGAGAAACCATCTTGCTTTCAGCACCAAAAGTTCCCCATTCTGGGAAATTCCTCAGTCCTGGGCAAACTAGAAAGGCCGGTCAACAAGATTATCTGTTGCTGTTTGTGCTCCAGATTTCTAGGGTTTAGACACTCAGAGAGGAAATGGGGCAGGTGAGTGGGATTGGGAAGGTGTCACTTGGGTAGGCTCAATATAAGCAAAGATACAGCGGTATTCAAATGTTGGGCACGTACAAGGGTACAAGGTTCCAGTGTGGTCAGTGAACACGTGTGGTCTTTGGGGGTTGAAGGTTGGTGGAAGGATCAGCCCCACCAGTCCCCCACATGTCCCTCCCACCTGCTGACCAAGGTCAAGTGGTCAATGTCATGGAGCCTGCCCATCATCCTTTAGCAGACAGAACCACCAAGGCCTGGAACCCCCATTACCCTATCTTGGTTCATCCCTTCTTCATCTGTGCCCCAAGTATTTATACACACAAACTGAGCTGCCAAATTATGAGTGAGTCTCCCCCTATATTTTCCACCTGCTATTACAGTGAGTAAAGCAAAAATTAAGTCCATTTATAGCTACAGCCTCCACTCACATTGAAAAAGGCTCGCAGAAGGCTGGACGCCATGGCTCACGCCTGTAATCCTAGTACTTTGGGAGGCTGAGGTGGGTGGAACTCTTGAGCTCAAGAGTTCGAGACCAGCCTGGGCAACACGGTAAAACCCCATTTCTACTAAAATACAAACAATTAGATGGGCGTAGCAGTGTGCGCCTGGAGTCCCAGCTACTTGGGAGGCTGAGTCAGGAGAATTGCTTGAACCTGGGAGACAGATGTTGCAGTGAGCCGAGATTGTGCCACTGCATTCTAGCCTGGGCAACAGAGCAAGACTCCGTTTCAAAATAATAATAATAGTAATAGTAATAATAATAAAAAATAAATAAAGGCTCACAGGACAGAGAGTGACTGAGTATCTAGCAGTCCAGCACCTCCTACCTTATCCTGTCTCTGGGGCACACATTCAGTGAGCAGGAGGACCAGCAGAATCATCTATGGTACCATTTCTCTTTTAGTTGCCAAGCACATGTAGTTTAATTCACATAGCTTATTGTCCGTATGTTGTGACTGTATTATAATAATGACAACCACATTTTACTTACTTATTATTTTGAGACAGAGTATCGTTCTGTTGCCCAGGGTGGAGTACAGTAGTGTGATCTCGGCTCACTGCAACCTCTGTCTCCCGGGTTCAAGCAATTCTGCCTTAGCCTCCCAAGTAGCTGGGATTACAGGCGCATGCCACCATGCCCGGCTAATTTTTGTATTTTTAGTAGAGACGGGGTTGCACCATGTTGGCCGGGCCAGTCTCAAACTCTTGACCTCAGGTGATCCATCCGCCTCAGTCTACCAAAGTGCTGGGATTACAAGCATGAGCCACCGCGCCCAGCCAGACAACCACATTTTAAAAGCTCCCTGTGTGCCAGGCACCATCCTAGAAGTGCTATATACATGAATAAATTTAATCCTCACAACAACCATGTAAGTTAGGTTTTCTTATTTTCCCATTTGACAGATGGAAAAATACACGGTCAGAGATGTTAAGTGATTGCCCGAGGTTACAGCAAGAGCAAGTCCAGGTCTCCTGGTTCTAGCTCTCCCCACTGCAGGTCATTGGGACACTTTCTGCAGGAAGAGTCCAAGGAGTGAAATTTAGAGGTGGTCTTGAGGACAAGGTGGCAGCCACAAAGCACAGGTCAGGGATACCACAGAGACTAGCCACTTCTTCTCTGTTCATCACTATGAACCACCCAGGATCCAGCACAAGGAAGTCCCTTCCTTTGTTGGGGCTGCAGTTATGGCCCTGAGACCTTGGTTCTATATGAAACTGTTGGAGCCAAAAGCCAGTTTGTTCTTGGTGCATCTCAGAGCATACAGTTATGCTTTGCTTATCAAACGACCTCTGTTCTTTCTGGCACAGCCAAAACCTAGTAGGAAGCAAAACTAGCCTTCTGATAAGGAAGCCAGAATGTTGTCATAAAGTCCACATGGAAACACTTGGGTGTTTTCATTCTTCTGCTTGTCCATTCAGAAACATTTACCAAGGACCTGCTACTGCCAGAAAGCACCCTGCCCTGTTGGGGTGCACAGTCTAGTGGGACAGAAATGCTGGAGCAGCATGCATGGTACACTATGGACGTGCTCTAATAAGGGTGGCTCAGGGCATTATAGAAGGACATGTAAACACAATTCTATTAAGCCCGGCACTCTGCTTTCTCACAACACAGACTGGCATGTGAGTGTGTGTGTATATGCACATGTGTATGTTTGTGTCTGCATTTTTTTTTTTTTTTTTTTGAGACGGAGTTTCACTCTTGTTGCCCAGGCTGGAGTGCAGTAGCACAGTCTCAGCTCACTGCAGCCTCTGCTTCCTGGGTTCAAGCAATTCTCCTGTCTCAGCCTCCCGAGTGGCTGGGATTACAGGCACCTGCCACCATGCCCAGCTAATTTTTCATACTTTTAGTAGAGACAGGGTTTCACCATGTTGGCCAGGCTGGTCTCGAACTCCTGACCTCAGGTAATCTGCCTGCCTCAGCCTCCCAAAGTGCTGGGATTATAGGCATGAGCTACCATGCCTGGCCAATGTCTGCATGTTTTGTGGGGCTCCTAAAAATATGTGAGCAAGAGCACTGTGTCATAGTAAGAAACCATGGAAATAGGAAATATTTATAGATGAAAAAAAAAGCAAAGCAACTTGGAGCCATTAATATAGGGGCAAATAGCCTCTCAAATCCAAATTGACAGGAAGACGTTACATTCAGTTTAGAATATTCTGATTAAGGAAGCAGAGAAGTGTATAATTCATTCTAGAGAAATTTCCCCCCAGAGTGATTAAACAAAAAAACAATGTTAAGGTTCACAGGGATAAGCTTCAGTTATCTAGAAAATTCACTTAAAACACCTCATTCCCCAGCAATGACAGAGAAATGAGGCAGAGCTACAGCGAGTCAATTATCAACTCTGCTGAAGGTGACTAAAAACTACCATCATTATAATTACAAGAGGACTTTGCATTCTTTCACAGAGAATCGCAAACTTTTACCAATTTGGCCTTGGAACGTCACCCCTCACACATTTCTTTTTTTCTGTCCCAGGCTCTGCTTCCTAATTATATTGGGCTTTGGCTGATTTTTTTTTTTTTTTGAGACAGAGTCTCACTCTGTTGCCCAGGCTGGTGTGCAGTGGTGCAAACTCGGCTCACTGCAACCTCCATGTCCTGCGTTCAAGCAATTCTTGTGCCTCAGCCTCCCGAGTAGCTGGGATTCCTGGCTGATTTTGTAAGTGGCTAGATCGTCTCTGGGCAGCTACTGAGGGCTGAAGGGCACCTGGAAGTGTGCAGCCTGGCTTGTTCTATTCCTTGAGGCTGGGCAACTCACCCCCTTCCTCTGCTGACCCCTTCAGACTTTGGGGTCCAGGGTCCAGGCTTAGTGTGCCCCTGGGTCCCCACAAGGGGAAGTGGCTTCACCACTGTCTTCTTCACCGACAGGCTTTTAAATTTGTAACTACAGTTGATCAGGCAGTTACTAATGCCAAGTCACGAGATAAAGGTGCAAAGTGAATTTTCTCCTTTAATTCTCACAACAACCCATAATAATAGCACCTGCTGCAGGTGGACATGGTATGCTGGCAGCCAGCCTGGGCTTCAACAGCCACCCTTGAAAATCCACCAAGAGGTGAGAGCAGAGACTGATTTTCCACAAGTGCCTTATTCAGGGACTGGTTTATGTGTGAATGGTGGGCGTAGGTCCGAGGTTTTCCATGACTGGCCCTGTTTCCCATAATTTTATTCTCTTCAGTTAAGATT